CTGTTACCTAAAGCTTCCCCTTGGGAACGTTGGCTGAACATGAACTGTTACCTAAAGCTCCCCCTTGGGAATGTTGGCTGAACATGAACTGTTACCTAAAGCTTCCCCTTGGGAATGTTGGCTGAACATGAACTGTTACCTAAAGCTTTCCCTTGGGAACGTTGGCTGAACATGAACTGTTACCTAAAGCTTCCCCTTGGGAACGTTGGCTGAACATGAACTGTTACCTAAAGCTTCCCCTTGGGAACGTTGGCTGAACATGAACTGTTACCTAAAGCTCTCTCTTGGGAATGCTGGCTGAACATGAACTGTTACCTAAAGCTCTCTCTTGGGAATGCTGGCTGAACATGAACTGTTACCTAAAGCTCCCCCTTGGGAACGTTGGCTGAACATGAACTGTTACCTAAAGCTTCCCCTTGGGAACGTTGGCTGAACATGAACTGTTACCTAAAGCTCTATCTTGGGAATGCTGGCTGAACATGAACTGTTACCTAAAGCTCCCCCTTGGGAATGTTGGCTGAACATGAACTGTTACCTAAAGCTTCCCCTTGGGAACGTTGGCTGAACATGAACTGTTACCTAAAGCTCCCCCTTGGGAATGTTGGCTGAACATGAACTGTTACCTAAAGCTTCCCCTTGGGAACGTTGGCTGAACATGAACTGTTACCTAAAGCTCCCCCTTGGGAACGTTGGCTGAACATGAACTGTTACCTAAAGCTTCCCCTTGGGAACGTTGACTGAACATGAACTGTTACCTAAAGCTCTCTCTTGGGAATGCTGGCTGAACATGAACTGTTACCTAAAGCTCCCCCTTGGGAATGCTGGCTGAACATGAACTGTTACCTAAAGCTTCCCCTTGGGAATGTTGGCTGAACATGACGATTTTTTATTTGTTTTCCAAATCGAAATCTAGTATGTCGAAATTATGAAACCGTTTCGCTAACCTCTAAGCTACTGATGCCGACATAATTCAAGCTGATGGAGTTTTACAACAACAAAAACAACATAGATAACCATCACCGTGTTGTCCTAACTTTAGTAATACACAGAGTGTGTAGCCACAAGCAGAGGCGTTTATAGCCCGTTATCTATGTCTCCATCTTGTATAGGCTCCTTCTCAATGATCTGACTGGCTTCAGGTGTATGCATGAGGTTTAACCCCTCCAGGACCGTACAACGAACGACCAAAACCTGGCGAAACAAAGTGTCACCATTCGGATGAGGATCACCCGGTCACAAGTCCCAGAAACCCCGTTCAACCGTTAGGTTATATCAGGGGCTCCCTGACTACAACCGGAGTGGTGCCTTAAAATGATAAAAATATGCTTCCCACATGGGGACGGTTATCATATACGGCTTCAAGTAGACAAAGCGTAAAAACTGAGGAAATGTTCTTGCAAATAAAAGCGGCTCATCAACACATCACGTATCATGTGCTGGTTTAATATGTAGAACTGGTACCACATACCTAGTTCGCCACAAAGCGTTAAAAAAATTGCCTTCACTGGCACGACACATTTCTTATCTATAACCATGAATATCTACAGCGCCCTCCCCCGGCGGTACGCAATACCGGTCTATCGTTTAGACACCATTTTCGCCCTATCGCTTCTGTAATAGGTACTTTGTGATAAAAACATGTATCTTTTTATTTTTATTTCAAAAAAAAAAAAAAAAAAAAAAAAAAACATGCATCAAGGTTTAGTGATTAGTAAGGATTATCATCACAGCAATCCGGTCAGATCCACTGATGCTCTTATCTCCTCCTTAAAAGCTCCACAAGTGTAAAACGACTGATGACGCGTGTTCTGTGTTGGTTAATGAAACAACGTCTTGTCCCCTTATTGAAATGTTCCTTTCTTGTAGCTCCAGGCTACACCCCCCCCCCCCCCCCCCCCCCCCCCCCATGTCCATCAGGGATACGGAGTCATGACCTTTTGCGTGCTCGACGTAACGGAAAGTGCTGCGCATGGCATTGATAACATCGCTTGTGTTTATTTAGTACTGTACCAGCCATAAAAACCGCAGCATCAGCAAGATAATTTGCACACTCGTTTCCTTGAACAGGCATTTATCCTGGCACAGAGAAGGTTAGAGCAGCCATTCGCGAAGTGCTTAGCGTTGTAATCCATTTTGCCTGATAAAACCAGCTTGAAGTTTTTTAAGCATTAAACTAGGAACGCAGCATCTCAAATTGTATAACTGTTCCAAACAGGTTTTGATGGCTCGTTCTAGCAGCGAGTAGGTTGATTAATGATTAATGAGGAGTTTAGTTCGACGTTAGTCTTCCCAGACCCCGACCATATATACACTAGCTCACTTCTGATTTGTAGTTCCTGAGCCCCGTGGCCTTAGCACACGGTTACGGGAGTATTCTACAATGCCGTTGACATCGCGTGTTGTATAATTCAGCACGCCAGCGCTTTTAACACTCCAAAAACAGACTAACTGGGTTTAACACCCCCCTTCCCTAAAAGAGTGCTGCAACCTTTGTCATAAGCGTTCTCTTTCTCGGAATGTAAAACGTAAATGCAAGACATCACAGAAACTAAACAACGGCGGGACACACCCGTAACCTTCATGAAAGTTGACCAGCCCAACAATCTTGTGAATGAAAAGTGACCTATAGGGATACTAACGTTGAACTAACCAGTGAGGAATATCACACAGCATTCCGGACAGATCAGTCGGTACTCCAACCCCCCAACCCCCCCCCCCCCCCCCCCCCCCCCCCCCGCAATCCATTAAGCGTAAAACGACTGCTCCCGCCCGTATTGATTAGATAGATCCTTGCTAACTTCTTGAATTCTGGATTTCTGGAATTCTGCCCCACCTTCTTCTTGCCTATGTTTCTTGCCATTTTAAAGGATGGAAGTTGTGCACTCATCATTTCGATAGCTCGTGTCTCTTGTGCTTTTAATGAAATGCCCATGAGTGGCTGTTTCAATTCTAGTAAATATGTTAATCATTTTGTTGCATTTTTTAAACAAAAATACACAAGTACAACTATTCAAATAAATGCAACCTTGGTTAAAATAATTTCCTTTTATGTTTTCGTCAGGTCGCCAAGATTTCATTCCGGAGACCTATGTTCGAAGCCATGGCATAGCGATCGATATTTATATTTTCGGGGGAGGGGAAAAAAGCCTAACTTGCACAGTCCTTGGCGACTGCATTAGTCATGTAACCCTATATCCGAAGACTCAAGACACCCCTGCCTATTCGCTCTACAAAGTGACAAATTAAGGCTGTCAAGATAGACAGTAAATTGGGACCTCTGTAGACCAGAGAAAGTTAGTTTCCCAACCTGGCGGTTATATGTTTCAAATCTATAAGTAACGGTTGTTTTCTTTTGCTGTTTAATTCCGTTTTCTTTATAAAGTATATTTTGCTAGCTCTAACCCTAAACATAACCTTAAACCTGACCCTAAACCCTAACCCTAACTTGTGCTAAATTTAGCTGCCATGTATGTTTGAGGTGAATTAATATTGGAGTACCTGCTTGAATTTTCAGTTTAAGTGCAAACCATATATATATATATATATATATATATATATATATATATATATATATATATATATATATATATATATACTACTTTCGTTACACCTAGTAGTCATACATTAAAATCCGCGGAACATAAGGGATATTTCTTTAATTGATCTCGACAAGTTGATGAGCCCAGCGTAAAATGGTCAATGAGTGGCGATCTCTGAAACGATTGAACAACTCACTAATTTGCGTGAAGCATCATCTCCGGCAGCTTGTTGAATCTTTGGGATGATTTCTACTTGGTAAACGTCAAATTTAGCAAAATGTCATTCAACACAGCTGCCTTGGTAGTCACACCAGTTCGTGGCCAAAAACAAATAATATGACGAGCATTCACTGCACTTACTCATGTTAATATTCGGCCACTCAAGCTCTGACGAATGCACATGGTTCCATCCTACACTCTAATTAAAGGATATATCATCCTATGCTATTAATTGCTGAACCGCTGTCACTTAATTCATGTAGTGTTGAATGATAAACTTCTAAAAAGTGAAATATGCATAATGATTTAAAATAGAATAACAGTGCGTTGAACGTCAGCTTCTTTCTTTTGCTCCGTTTTCTGCTTTGTGCCGCTATGCATCGTAGGTTAACAGAAGATTGGTTTCCGAGCCAGGGCACGCTCGGTTCCCAGAATGCTGTGATGTTGTGGAATTTCAAGATATCAGTGACTCCTTCAGTCCGTATTCGTCATCCCATACCGCTTAGTGTTTCTACTTTCATGTTGTACGCTCTCGTTTCTGGAATCATTGCATTCATTCTCATTAAACGGCCAAGCCATTTCTTCTTCTTCTTCTTCTTCTTTTTCTTCTTCTGCCTTTTCTTCTTCTTGTTTTTCTTTTTTTTTTCTTTCTTATCTTTATTCCTGGAATGTCTTGCAGCATCAGAGGAGGAAGAGATCTCTACGGAATATGGTTTCAATATCCCTGACTATTCTACCGTGATAAGTGAAGAACGTCGGCAATGCTGCAATACTTATCAATAAATAGTAATTGACAAGCAGCAATTTCGTTAGTCGGAAATGTGTACAATAAATAAGCACATGGGACAACAGATCACATCCCCCAAGACTCATGGGACAACAGATCATATCCCCCAAGACTATCACAAATACAACATATCAAGGCACAAATTTTGGCCAAAAGAAACATCGTTGCAAGTTAAACTTTACGGGTCACTGAGTGAATTACAAAAGACAGTGAAGTTTATACAAGAGGTAACATTGCAGATATAGATAATTTATTTCAAGCGAACAAAAAAACAAAAAACAAAAGAAGAAGATGTACAATAAACACTTTAAATCTGTGTTTTAGATAGTATGTACTTGTTTTTTAAAACGAAACATGTTCAGAAATGTAGACCTGAATTTTGAACTCATGCTGAGGTATATTAGTATGTTTACACCAGCGTTAATAGATTCTAGATGGAACAGAACTGAAAAGACAGCAAGTAACAGATTTCAGGATTTCTACGAACGCCATCAATTCTCATATCTTGATCGGTCAACATATATATGAAAACCACTGTCCCAGGAAAGTAGCATATAATGAATATAGCAGATATTAGTACCACCATTTTTACAACCTTACTTTCTCGATTAGATACGCTTGCTGAAACATTAGACGTAGTTGCTTGTCGTCGCCATTTTGATTTCTGACGCAAAGTTGAGACCAGAATTATTGTGCAAATAACAACTAGACATAATGCTATTGTTGGTATAGCATTGTTTGTGGTAAATGTAATGCTTTCTATTGTTTCTCTATTCTCTAAAAAGGTTATTCCAAGCAATGTTATATTTCTGACAGGATCAAAGACAATTGCGGGTCGTGTGGTATAGAAACAAGGTAGAACGCTTGCTAGCATGATTATGTACACGAACTGAAGATAAAAAACTGTCCTTTTAGGTGTGAATACATTTTTGACCCGCAGGGGCGCAGTAACACAAAGACACCGCTCTAGAGTGATGTATGCGGTTATCCAAGTGCTGATTCTAGTGAACATTATGTGGCACCAGGATATAATGTACATGAGATCATTAGGTACGAAGGGTAGATCCAGCGCCATGAAAGGGGGACAGAAGCTGATGTTGGCATAACAAAGTGTAATCTGAGAACCCAGATCTGACGTAGCCAGACCTAACAGACTTATGTTGACAGTATCCTTGACACCTTGTTTAACGAAGACGATGATGTTTAGAATATTTGTCATAATTCCAAAAAGGCAAACTCCCTGGCCCACGCCCCACAAGTTGAACAGGAGAAAATAGTACAGCACTTCATTGGACACAATTGCTCTGCTCTTGGTGGCATTAACTAGCTCCGTATTGGTTCTAGTGTCTATCGGTTTTGTCACGTTAAAGTCAGCCATGACTGCAATGCTACAGCATTTTGATTCCTAACAGTTTGTGTCCTGGCCACTCATTGGAAAAAAATATTTATGCTTCTAGGATTGTTTATGAAGATTTTCAAGCTATCGCCTCAACAAAAAGCGCTGTATAAAGTTGATTTTTACAAATAATTATTTATGTAATACGTACTTTGTTCTCTCTCCCCCCCCCCCCTCCCTTTTTCACTTTTGCACATTTGTCTAGCAAAGCATGATATAGATTACGCGAACACCATAGTTTGTTATTTACAATTCGACAACAGTAATCAATGTAATTATTAGTCGCAATTATCTGCGAAATATTACAGATTACTTATCTCAATGACCGAGTTAACCCTCGCTTACCCACTACCACACAAAGCAATAACACCAACTAATACTTTCATGTTAACTGTACTTGACATTGAAAAGGGCTGGTAGAACTGTTGCAGTTCAGCATCGTTCAACCCTCACTTTCTAACAGAGCACAAAATGAGGCACGCATTTCTGTACTGACAGCCCCTGGAGCTAGGGCGTAATAGAGCGTGTTTACCCTGTTAATTATTGCTTAGTGTCGTCTGATCAGTAATTATCTCCCCCGAATGTCTACCTGCACATTAATTTTGGATCATTATGCACTTTTGAGTTTCTATCTGTTGGCATCAAAACTGAGAACTTAAATAACTTGTATGCAGCAGACATAATAAAAATGTATTATTTTATGTATCTAAATTTCTGTTTCTGTTTTACTTGAAAACATGTGTTTACATTTTTTTGTATTTTAATTATAAATTTTGTTCAGTTAATCTAAGCTTGACGCCTTTATTCTTTTGACTTATTTTGTTACTTTATAATGTAGCATGTATGTTTGTAAAAATTTGTTTCATTCTTTATTCTGTTATTATCAAAGTTCCAAATTTTAAAAAAGGGGAGGGGGTGGGGTGATGTCCTTATACATGCTTTACAATAAATAGATGTCTATGACAATACTAGTAAAAGTAAGTACTGAATTAACCGTGGATCAATTTGTCAGCAATAAGTGAGGGCAATCGTCACACACATAAGGACACATATGCCAGGCAAACGTGTAAATACTTGTTTTCCTTATGTGATAGATAGATGTCCAACATGATAAATCTCTCTCATATAGTGAACGTATTTTATAAGGAGGAGAACAAAGATGTAGGAATCAGCGGATATAGTAGAAATTATATTCATTGGGAACTAGGCCTGTTAGGATACGAAGCCTAAGCTTCTTCCCAACAACAATATCTTTTCCCCTGTGGGTTCCGGGGCCCAATTGTGGAAAGGGGAAAACACAAAAGAATAGGCCCACTGCAACTAACAAGTTATATAAGTCGACTGATTATGGGTTTTCCTTTATGGTCAGAGTACATCTACCAGAGAGGTGAGGAATTAACCGTCTGTATGCAAATAAGCCGTAAATGTAAAACGGATGTGCACACAAAACTCCACAAATGAATGTACAGTTATAAATTTCCGCCACAGTTTACAGCTAGTAAACGTGAAGAAGAAGAAGAAGAAGAAGAAGAAGAAGAAGAAGAAGAAGAAGAAGAAGAAGAAGAAGAAGAAGAAGAAGAAGAAGAAGAAGAAGAAGAAGAAGAAGATGATGATGATGATGATGATGATGATGATGATGATGATGACGATGATGAAGAAGAAGAAGAAGAAGAAGAAAAAGAAGAAGAAGAAGAAGAACTGATGGAACTTTGTTTAATTAAGAATCAACATCATAGCACTCGAGACACTCCCATAAGCGCTGCGACCCTATCTTCAGCAGCAAGCGCGGAGTTCTAATTCCGATGGCATCAGTAACAATCTATTTGTATATCCCACTCACCTTTACCCTTTTCGTCAGTCAAGACCGCTGGTCACTCCTCGCAGCACCATACTCTAAAGACCGTGATGATCTATTTTTGTCTCCGCATTGTTCACTCCCCCCCCCCCCCCCCCCCACAGAGCCCTTACAACATCTAGCTTGGCACGCATCAATTCGTCACAAACTTATGTAGAACCAGCTAGTCTATCTGTTCATTTCCCAATACTCGGGCTTGTACTGAAGAAAATATCCAAAGGGTGCTAACTACCCGAGACATCTGAAGCGATGCTTGCCACTCTACACCGGTCTCCACCTTTCTCAAGTCGCTCCGTGAGTCGGTTACAGTTACGACATGTGTGTACTGATGCACGCACGCACACATGATTACCCAGCTTTATGATCCACTTTGCCCGTAACAATAAAGGGTTGCCAACATAGAATATACCTGGCTGTTATTAAAGAGAACTATTGTCTTAAATTTATAGCGAAGTAAGCACAGATGTTTGAAACTTAGAAAGAGATCAGACTGAAATGCGGTGTCTAGCATATCACAACCATATACAACAACAGACAGACAGTGTTACCTCCATTTATGAACCTAATTTATACTTTTATTTGTTTGCACAGGATACGTACGACCAAAACTGGAGTATGGCATGGGGGCATTACTCCACTGCGGGCAAATCAAATCTACACAAACTGTGACAAAAAACAGAACACTGGTCTCAGAATCATCACGGGAAGTATAAGAAGCATACAAATCCATGAGCTAGAAGCAGTTTCTAGCCTCCAGAGCTTGAGCATTCGAAGGTAAGAAAAGGTGATTACCTTAACAGAAAAATTTAAACCTATGAACAACCCCATGCACAAAATAGCAAAAAACTTAACCAAAAACGACTGAAAAAAACTAAACTTTCACCATCTATCAAAATTGTACTAAAAAAAAAAACAGTGACATCCTTTCCAAAGATTTTTCAACATGGGAAATGATCCAGGCATACAGCATAGACCTACAGCCTAACTATACAGTCACAACAATTCCAAGCATAGACAGAAAGGCTACATAATGTGACATAGTACTGCACGAAAAGATCCTTGAATATGTCTACAACTGTTATTAAAAACCTGAATGGACACACGTATACACCGATGGGTCGTTGGAGGGAGCAGAATAAAACAACAACGGAGGAGCTGGATCGGTCATCATGCTGCAAGATGGAACCACAGGAGAAAGATCATGTACTTCGGAAGACAAACTCAACAAACTTCTGAGCAGAGCAGCAAGCAATTGTTGATTCAGACAAGCTCTCGATGAAAGAAAAATTTAAAATAGCAAAATTGTTTTCCTTTGTGACTGCTTGTAAGTCCTCCATGCGACTTAGAGGGATCCACAAGACAACATGAAGAGAGAACTGACCCGCCAGCTAAACAGATTCACAGAAAACAATTAAATCGTTTTCCATTGGATCCTGGCTCCCTGCGGCATACCGGGAAATGAGTTAGCAGACAGACTTGCAAAAAATGGAACAAAGGTGAAACAACACGCTCATCCATTGTCATTACCAGAAATCAGAACACTAATCAAAGGAAAATACAAGGAATTGTGGAAAGAACAAACTAACAGAACAGTAAACATCCACAAGACCCTATCAGCAGACTGTTGCAACAGAAAGCAACATACAACAATTTTCAGTCTACGAACAGGACATTGCAGGCATAAAATAAAGATTGCACAGTCCCCACAGTTTGCCTGAAAAACTGGACCACAAAACCCCTGAGCACAATCTGCAGACCTACCCACTCTACTTACAACTTCGAAAAGATACCTGGCCCCAAGCGCAAAGTGTGCAGAGCAGGCTATGGGAAACCACGAAGGATCTGTTACTGACATGCGAGTTCATAGAGGCAACCCACCTGATGGTCTGATTTGAGCATACGAAACAGAACGCAAAGAAGAAGAATTTTGTTTGCAAACCGTGATGTTCGTTATATGAGAAATAATTTTTTGTTGAAATTAATGCAAATCCAGTTAATCCTTCTGCGCACTCCAAAACATTTTTTTTTAAACATTTTAAAATGGATTTATGTGTGGGGAAATTATAGGTAGGTAGGTAGGTAGGTAGGTAGGTAGGTAGGTAGGTAGGTAGGTAGGTAGGTAGGTAGGTAGGTAGGTAGGTAGGTATATGTACCCCACCAGGACATAACACAAGCGATAAACACCCGTTGACACAAAGTGCCACCATGTGGATGAGGATCACCCGGGGAGAGGTCCTAAGCTAAAGTCGGACGTGGGCCATATCTATAGCTAGGCCATATTTATGGCCCAGGTATAGTCAGGGCCACCGGCAAAAGTTAGGGTGGGTGTTATAAATTGCACCCCACGTAGGGACAACAAGACTATGATAATATATAATATAAAAGATACAGTATTAAAATGAGGAGCCGCAGTGGTCTAACCACTAGACGCTCGTTTGCGGATCGGAAGGTCGTGGGTTCGGGTCCAGACAGGGGCCAGACTTTTTTTTTTTAAATGCCCTTGACTCTCAAGTCGACTCAGCCTTGAGTAAGTACCGGGTACAGTCCTGGAAAGTAAAGACGGCCGGTGTGATGCTGACCACATCACCCACCAAGTGCCGTTTGGTGTACAGAATAAAGGCCTAGCCCTATATACCCAATACACCTAAAGGAGTGAAAAAAGGTCCTTTACTTTTATGAACATAAAAATACGATAGTAATAAGTTGGCATTTGTGGGTTAGGGGTTATGAGCGCGGTTATAAAATTCAGACACACTAGGTTTGATTAGGATTTATAAGCAGACCGTTTTGCGTTGATTTCGACAATAGTATTAGTAGGTAATGAAAAAATAAGGGGCGTAAAATTGCACAGTGAACGACAAACTGGCAACAAATGATTTCTTATGTCGGTTTGCAACGTCCTGCTAAAAAAAAATTTGCCTCTAGCTTTAAATTTAATAAATAATGGAGGGAATTACCCTATCACTGTTGGAGCCTTTAAATCAGCATGGTGAGTTATAGATAGACAATAATCACTGAATTCACTCCATTTCGCTCGCGCGCGCTGTCCTATCTTCTAGGGGTGTTGTAATATGCCTCTATTCGCTGTCTATACACATCGTGGTGGGTGAAGCGCCAAAGGCTAGAT